TCATTAAATTGTTGGTTTCAGATCTCTCCAATTTGTTGATGTAGGAACTCAGAGCTATAAACTTGCCTCTGAGTACTGCCTTTGCTCTGTCCCAGAGGAGCTGGTGATTTGTGTGTTCATTTTTGTTGAATAGCATGAACATTTGAATTTGCTTTCTAATCTCTTCCATGACCCACCCGTGATTCAGCAGTGTGTTGTTCAGCCTCCTTTTGGTGTTGAGTTCTAATTTTATTCCCTTGTGGTTTGAGAGAATGCAAGGTATAACTTCAATGTTTCTGAATTTGGACAAATTTGCTTTGTGGCCTAAAATGTAGTCTATTTTGGAAAATGTTCCATGTGCTGCTGAGAAAAACGTGTATTCTGATGCTGCTGGGTGAAATTTTTGGTAGATGTCTGTTAAATCTAGTTGATCTATGCAGTTGTTTAGATCTGCGGTTTCTCTGTTGAGCTTTTGCCGAGTTGATCTATCTTGTGGGGAGAGTGGTGTGCTAAAGTCCCCAACAATTAATGTCTTTGTATCTACGTGGGATTTGAGGGAAAGTAGTGTTTCTTTGATAAATTTGGGTGCTCCATTGTTTGGCGAATAGATATTTAGAATTGTAATATCCTCCTGAAGGAGAGATCGCTTAATTAGTATGTAATGACCTTTTTTTTATCTCTTCTCACCAATTTTAATTTGAAGTCTATTTTATCTGATATTAGGATTGCAACTCCACCTGTTTATGGGGGCCATTTGCTTGGTAGATTTTGTTCCAGCCTTTCACATTGAAAATGTGTTTGTTTTTATGGGCAAGATGTGACTCCTGAAGGCAGCAGATAGAAGGGTCTTGCTTTTTAATCCAACTAGACAGTCTATGTCACTTAATTAATTAAATTGTTAGTTAAAGTTGAGTGATAGGACTGAAAGGTATTTGGGAGTTCCTGCCATTTTATCCACCTTCTTGGGGGCTGCGGCAACTGGGTTCTTCTTATGGTTCTTGGATTCTCAGTTTGGGTGCGTTTTTTGGTTGGTTTTCTAGGTGTACGACATCTTTAAGAGTCTTTTGTAGGGCTGGTTTGGTGAAGATATATTGTTTCAATTTTTCTTTGCTATGGAACATTTTTATTTGACCTTCAGTTATGAAGGAGAGTTTAGATGGTACAGTATTCTTGCTTGATAGTTGTTTGTCTTTAGAGTATTGCATATATCATTCCAGGCTCTTCTTGCTTTGATTGTCTCTGCTGAGAAATCTGAGGTGATTCTAATTAGTTTCCCTTTATAGGTGATTGATCTTTTCTCCTTGACAGCTTTAAGGATCTTTTCCTTGGTCTGAATTGATCCTGTGTGGATTATAATGTGATGGTGGGATGTCCTGATCTGGTCTGGTCTATTTGGAGTTCTAAAAGCTTCTTGTATCCGAATAGGCCTATCTTTTTGCATGTTTGGGAAATTTCTTTGCTAGAGTCCTGTTAAACAAATTTTCTAGACCATTAACTTCTGTCTCTAGGTGCTCCTCTACACCCAATATCCTCAGATTAGGCCTTCTGATGGTGTCTTCAAAGTGTTGAATAGATCTGTCATATTTCTTGGATTTGTCTTGGATGGTTGTATGTTCTTTCTCTATAATATCTAGGCTGACTTCAATCCCCGAGATTCGATCTTCTGCATGGTCTAACCTACTATCAAGACTTTCTACTTTGTTTTTTATTTCTTTTCCCTTTAGTTGGTTGGCTTTGATGGCTTCAAATTCTTTGTTGGAGCTTTGTTTTAGATCTTGTATGAACTTCTTTACTTCCTTAATTTGGTGTTCAGTGTTTATTCTCAAATCACTTAGTTGATTGGTTATGGTTTCCTTGGACTCCCATTCCTTCTGTTGGGTTCCATTCAGCATTCCCTTTGTGGTCTCCCTGACTTCTTTCAGCTGTCTGTTTATGGATTCCATGAATTCCTTTAGTGATCTTTGTGTATTCTCATCGCGCTCTCACAATTCCTGTATTGCTCTTTGATTAGTTTCCTCACGTTCATGCAATTCCTGTAGATCTCTTTGACTGTTCTCAGCCTGCTCACACCATTCCTGACTTTCTCTTTGTTTATTCTCAGCCAGCTCCTGCAATTCCTTTCTATCTCTTTGACTGATCTCAGCCTGCTCACGCCATTCCTTTATTTCTCTTTGAGTGTTCTCAAGCTGCTCACGCAATTCCTGTATCAATCTTTGAGTAGCTTCCTCATGCTCATGATATTCCTGTATTGACCTTTGGTTTGCCTCCTCTCTCTGCCTATCATGCTCATACAGAGTCCTTTGCAGGTTTACAACCTTTTCATTTATCATGTTTACCAGTAGTGTTTGTAGAGCTTTTTGGGAACTCTCCTCTGGATTATTCATTATCTATTCTGTCCCCTGATTATCATGAGTGGGAGTTGAGATACCAGGACTTGCCATTTTTCTTGTGTTTTTCTGGCTTGCTCTGCCCATTTGGGATGAAAATAACACGTTTTGTGCTAGAACATTATCTTAAGGCAAGCATCAACCAAAGTCTGTAGTTGCACAGTCAAAAGTCTGCAGATACAATCTAGTTCAACAGATATATCTATTCAACATCAAACAACAATGTATTAATGGGCTACGAACAGCAAAAAAGAATTTGGCAAACCAGAAATTATTAGGTTTAGGGAGAGATGTGAGTAAAAATAGGAATAGAAGGATGTGGAAAGGCAGAGGGAAAGTTAACTTAACTAAGTCTTAATCTCAAAGTGGGAAATAGGTTGGATAGAATGATAGCAGAGAGAGAGAGAAAAGAAGAAGAAAGAGAAAGAAAAAAGAGACAAGAACAAATAGAAAAACAAAAATTAAAAAGTGAAACACTTAAAAATTATGCAAATTTAAAAACATAATATTCAGAGAAGAACATGGATAGGATAAGAGAAGGGGAGGGATAGAAAGGAGACGTGAAAAACTTAAAAATAAAAATGCTTAAAATATTATATGGGTATAAAGAGGTAGTACTGCTATTAAGGAATTTAAGTCTAAGAGGTTTTGAATTGAGTAATAAGTTTCTGGATTAAGTGTGTACACAATGGGGGATAAGGTCTAATAATGGACTATGGGTATATCTGAGGATGAGTAGAATAGCAATTAAGTCACACAAAGAAGAATGAAAGAGAAGAAAAAGTGAAAAGAATGAGAAGGAAAGAAAAAAAAGGATCAAAAGGTCAGTAGAGCTAAACAAAAAAAATTTTAAAAAGAAAAAAGAAAGCACACACAAATATAACCCTAAAATAAAAATTATAAGAGGAAGAAAATAAAAGTTAATAGAAAACAAATTTTTTTAAAAAGTTAAAAATTAAAAAAAAGTTTTAGAGGGGCTGGGAAGGTGGCTCAGTGGTAGAGCGCTTGCTTTGCATGCATGAGGCCCTGGGTTCGATTCCTCAGCACCACATAAGCAAAAAGAAAAAAGCCGGAAGTGGTGCTGTGGCTCTACTGGTAGAGTGCTAGCCTTGAGCTGAAGAGCTGAGGGACAGCGCCCAGGCCCAGAGTTCAGGCCCCACGACAGGACCACCCCCACCCCCCCAAAAAATGTTTTAGAAATTTTTTTTTATAAAGGTACAAAAAAAAGAGTTCTTTGATTTGGGGGGGGGGGAGGATGGGAAGATCCTGTATCTCCCTTGTGTCTATAACCAGTCTCTTGCTGGAGTCTCTGGTCTGCTTGTGGTGTTTGATTTTCCTGTGGCTTGGTTGGTTTCTTAAGTCAGTTTGTTTGAGCAGGCAGAAAAATGCTCTGCTTTACCCAGGATTTTGTGATCCTCCTCCCAGGCTAGTTCACTGGGAGGCAGATCTGCTTTGAGTATCACAAAAGAGGGAGATGGCTGCTTCCTCTAGTTTGGAGATGCTGTGATGAGGCTAGGTTCTCGGTAGGGTTGAGGCCTTTCAGCAATCAGTAGCTTTTCCCTGAGGGGCTAGCTTCTGAGACACTCACAGAGCCCAGCCTGGAGCCATTCCCAGGGTTTATGTTTACTGAATTTCAATTGATTGTCAAGGCTGCTGTAGGGAGGGGCCAGCCTCTGGCTCTGTTTACCCAGTGAAGGAAGCCACTCCTGGGGCTAGTGGCCCTGTCTGGGTGACTTTTCCCTGGGTGGAGCTGAGCCTGGCAGGTCAGGTTAGGTTCCTGTGACCTGCTAAATGGCTCTTTTGTTTTCTTCCAAGGCCTGAGTTGGAGCTAGCTGCTCAGCCAGGCCTTTGTCAGAATCAAAGATGGAGAACTCCGGTAGTGGGTGGGGGGTGGCCTTCCCTCTTCTGCTCCCTGAGAAGGAGTGAGGATGTCAGGCTTCTACTCATGCTGGAGTCTTGGTTCCTGGGTCATCTCTGGTCTGTGAACTGCAGGATGAAATGTCTGCTCCTTGTCAGTTCTTGCTGGTGTTGAGTAGAATCCACTTGCCAGCCACGTCTGATGAGTTTGTCCTGGACTCTCTGTGTTGTAGGTATGGCAGCTACAGCCTCCACCACCGCGGCTGCTGGCAAGTGCTCAGATCTGTCTCCTGGATTTTCCCTCTCTGGCCTAACTCTCTGTACTGTGATGGCACACTTGGTGTGATTCTCTGGCTTAGGACCGTTCACTGGAGCAGTAAAACTGCTTTCTTTTCGAGAACTTGTTTAGTCTCCAGCTTCTCCTCCGCCATCTTCCTGGAACTCCTCTCCCTGTTTCTTTCTCTCTAACTAATGGTGGTAGAGGATGTTGAATGTAAGCCTTATTCTCAATGCATCTTTCACTCACCTCTGGCACCATTTGAGTCACATCTTTAGTCAGGCATTTTGCTGGAGGCATTAATAGTAGCTAGTCTCCCAGACTTGTCTGTGGGGACTAGGTTTGAACTTCAATACTTAGATCTCAGCCTCTTGAGAATCTAGAGTTACATGCATGAGCCATGGATGCCTCCAAGCACATATGTCTATGTACTTGTCTTAATCAAGCTGAATGTAAATGTACAGTAACATTACTGCCATGTTTTTATGGATGAATAAAGCATACCAGACTATCTTAGCCCATCTTCCATCTCTCCCTAGCCCTGAAGACACATGCAGCTGTGTGTAGAGATCCTCCTGGTCGTTCCTGAAAACCCTCTCAGCCCAAGACCATGAGCAACCACACAGCAGTAACAGAGTTCATCCTGCAGGGATTCTCAGAGCATCCCGAATACCACATCTTCTTGTTCTGCTGTTTCCTGTCCCTCTACTGTGTGGCCCTCACAGGCAATGTCCTCATCATCATGGCCATCAGCTTCAACCCTGGCCTCCACACTCCCATGTACTTCTTCCTGTTCAATTTGGCCACGATGGACATCATCTGCACCTCAGCCATCATGCCCAAGACATTGGAAGGGCTGATGATAGAGAAGAGCTCCATCTCCTTTGGAGGCTGCATGGCCCAGCTTTATTTTCTTACATGGGCTTTATCTTCAGAGCTGCTGCTGCTCACGGTCATGGCCTATGACCGCTATGCAGCCATCTGCCACCCCCTGCATTACAGCACCATGATGAGCAAGGCCTTCTGTAGTGTGCTTGCTACAGGAGTGTGGGTGATCTGTGCCTTTAACTCAGCCATCAACACAGGACTAACAGTGCGATTGAACTTCTGTGGTCCCAATGTCATTACCCATTTCTTCTGTGAAATCCCTCCTCTGCTCCGTCTCTCCTGTAGCTCCACTTATGTGAACAATGTCATGACCACACTGGCCGATGCTTTCTATGGTGGGTTTGACTTCCTGATGATCATTGTGTCCTATGGCTTCATCATCTCCAGCATCCTGAAGATGCGATCTTCAGAGGGGAAGCAGAAAGCCTTCTCCACCTGTTCCTCCCATCTCATTGTGGTGTGCATGTATTGCACAGCAGTGTTCTATGCCTACATAAGTCCCATGTCCGGCTACAGTGCAGCAAAAAGCAAGTTAGTTGGAGTGCTGTACTCCATGGTGAGTCCCACCCTCAACCCCCTCATCTACACTTTGAGGAACAAGGAGGTCAAAGCAGCCCTCAGGAAGGTTTTTCTCTTCTTCAGAAATTAATCTGACTTGTGATGGATGTGGATGTTGAAAGGGGTGACATTGATCAGGATGCACTGTATATATAAACTTCGTTATTGAATGGAAATTCCTACTTAATGATAATAAAATATTAACAAAACAAATTAGCACATCTTTTCAGAATGTCTTCTTCTTGGAAGCTCCATTTTTTGTGGGGATTGGCTTTCCTGGGTAATGAGATGAAGTTTTCTGTGCTGAAATTAAATAAGCCTGCTTCTTCCATCTCAGCAGAATGTCTGCCTGGGAAGATAGATGTTGCTGTCAGACTCCAGGCCTCTGAGACAGAGTATCTGATGTTCTGAAGCTGACAAAGAACTTTGGTGGCAGGGAAGTAAGATTGTGTGTGTGTGTGTTTTGGAAGGTGAAAATGGGATTGACTAAGTTTTTAATGCTAATGTCTATATAAAAATTCTGTTCCTTCTTTTGTTATGGAAAGCAATCTAAATGCACTTCTGCAAATCACATATATAAGTTACATGCATGGATTGTAAAGCATTTTGGCAGGAAGTGTGGACTTTATAATATTTGGAAGACTGTCACAGTAACAGATGGATTTCAGACCTTGGGGCCTTTGGCTCAGGCCTGAAATCCTAGGAACTTAGGAGACTGATATCTGAGGAGGGAACACAGAATCTGAAGCCTGCCTAGGTAGGTAAAACCCTTGAGATCTTTCCTTCCAATGTACCACCAAAAAACCAGAAGTGCAGCCTTGTCTTAAGTGGTGGAGCTCTAGCCTTAAACAAAAAAGTTCAGGGCCAGTGCCCCAACCTTGAGTTCAATCCCTAGGATCTTTATGTACACATACACACACACACATGTACACACAGACACACAGACACACAGACACACACAGAATAGCTTTTGGGTGACCCCAATTACATGGGAAAATTCTACCCTTTGTATCTTATTTTATTCACCATCTCTAGAGGCTATTAACTGCAAAATCAATTGCAGTTTGTTATGCATGTTGTTTCTTGTCATTTTCTCTATTCTCACCAACACTGAAGGTGAAATATGTTTTTGGGATTTTTCCTTGACTTGACGGTGCAGATTCCAACACAGATGCTCTGGTGTATGGTCAAGGAACCTAAAAATGTCTAAGATTTCTCATGCACTGACTTTGCTGTCAGCAGTGAGGATCCGGTCTGCCTTATTGTCTGAGACTGGGGCACATGGATGTGATTGAGTGTGATCAGATTGTACTGAGGAGGCAATGTTCCTGAACAAAAGCTGGTACACAAATCACCTGTAATAGAGACTTGTCTTGAGCATGTGTTCTGTGCCGTTAGAAAAAAGTACTGGCGTTAAACGAAGTTAAATTAAACAAATAGAGTATTAATTAGACCAAGGGAGAATGAAACCTAACTTGGACAAATAAGTCCCAGGTAACCTGAGAAACATAAGCACAGACCCTAGAAATGGAACAAACTATAGCCTGGCATTTACTGAAATTTGCAGAGTAAGAATAGCACTAAACTTGAAAAGCATATTCTTCCTGTAGCAAAAAAAAAAAAACTCTAGGCTAGTTATTAAAAGGAAAAGTCCAGAGATTAAGGCCTTGGAAAATTAGTGGGTTAAACATTGGGTTACTGGAATTCAGTAAATAACACTGAAACTCAGAAAGAGCCAGGAGACCTGGAAGGTGGTTTGATTTTGAATGTGGTAAGTAAGAAGTTTGGAATATATTCTGGTCAATATCAGTTAAACCCCTAAACCAGGAACTGAACAAAGGGCAAATCTGGGATATGAACTTTGTCTTTATGCTTTATTGCCTTGGTTACTGGAATTGTAATCTCCATTTGTCATCACCGACTGCTGGCTCTGCTTCTGTAACTTGCTTCCTTGCCAATTGCAAAACTACCACTGGCCAGCTGCGAGTGGCTCCTTGCTGTTTTCTCCTATAGAAGTGTACCCCATTTTGGGCTTAGGGTTGTTCTTCACTGTCCCAGTAGTGGGGAGCAGTTGCCACATGGTTAATAAAGATTCTTAGCCCGATAGACTGAGTACTGGTGACTCCTTTCACCGATCGTGGGTTCCAGTCCCACTGGCCCTAGGATATTGGGATACTTCATTGGAGCTGGGCTCTACCATGTGGCCCCAGTCTGAGGGTGAGGTGGAGGTGGCCCAGGGACTAGCCTACAGCCATTATCCAGCAGACAATGGGACACTTGCATCCCTAAACCTTACTACCATGACTTGACAGCAGTGGAGCCTAGGACCCACCTTGCCGTGCCAGGCAATGCCCCCCACGAGGCCATCAAAGGCATGGCATCCTTGGGTGGTGGTGTTGTAAGGTGAATCCAGTTTCTGAGATACAGAGAAGCCACATTTTGAAAGATTGAATTGGGAGTCTTTATTAGAAAGCAAGTATCTGCAAGTGAACTATTGTCACAAAGACCTACGACTCCTCAAATACAATTAACACTGTTGGAAAACTGAGTCCTGAGAGCAGGAGAGGAAAGAAAGAGAGAAAAACAATATCAACAACCCAGATCAATACTATCTGAAGGCTTAAGTGGGATGCCATTTTGACCAAGACAGAGCCAGGAGACCAGACACAGCACATGACACCTGGCATAATGGCATATGTGCTAGTCTGACCCTCAAATCCAGTCCAGTTTGGAGCCAGGTCACAGGAAACTCCAGAGCTTCCCAGGGACTAACAGGCCCAGGGACCTATCATCCAAGTCCCCACCCCTGCCTCTAGGAATTCAGGCATGCCTATCACCTGGGAGGTGGGATTTCTCTGGGGCTAAACAGCACAATACATTTATATATCCTCTCTGGGTCTAAACAACATGGTGTATCTGCAATTCAAAAGATAGTTTATCTCACCTCTGGGCCTTGGAAGCTGAGTGGACAGCCCCCACTACTTGGTTAGACACTAGGATGGCTGTGAAATCTAAGTGACTTAATTAGACCTAGTCTTTCCCTTGCTTCAGTGGTGGGCATGTCGAGGCCTTCAGGGATGGAGGATGGAGAAGGTGGGAGGCCCTGAGAGCTCACCACCATTGTAGAGTCCCAAAGCCAGCCAATCAAGTTTGGGGTGACCTTCCTGCACCTGAGGGGGAGACCTCACTGGCCACAGGATGGACAAGGCCTCGATAAACCTGGAAGGTGAGCAGAACCAGGATGTGGCCAGTACAGAAGTTGGTGGCCCTGGTGGGTTGCGCTGGTGTTAGCTTGAAATGGTAGAGTGAAGGCCCCATGTGGCCACAGAACCCTCCGGACAGACTGGCCGCCATGTGCCCCTGTGTATATTATGCACAGGCTGCTCTCAGTTCCAAGCCTTTTAAAAGGTGATTTTTTTGGTCCATGTGGAATTCTAGATGTGAAGAATTGTCTACGCATGGTACATAGAGGCAGAAAGTCACACTGGTCATTTTCCATTTGTTTGTGAAAACCATAGAAATGTCTTCTGGAAGCGACTGTGAGTGGCGATGTCAGACCACCTCTAGGAGGGACACATAGAGATGCAGTGCACATTTGTTCCATGCAGAGGACACGGAACAGAGCATGCATGGGAAGGAAGAGGAGGGGACCCACCCAGACATCTATTGATCTGTGCATCTCATCCTCTTGCTGTATAGAGCTGACTGTCTAACACCGTTGATGTTCTGAAGTGCCTGGTGTATTTTTAAAGTAGGAATAGGAAATGACACAGCTTATAAATGTCTTTTTGTAACATTCCTATGGAAAGTACTTTGGGGGAAACAATGGACTCCTTGAGTTGCAGGCCTGGCACTTGTGCCCTGGTTCCCAGGAGAAAGAAATGCAAAGAGGGCTCCACCAGTGCTTACAGTGAAGGGACACAGCACCCATTTTGTTTTACTTTCTTGGGTCCTAGTGTATATGAAGAACAGAGGAGTCCTGACTTCATTTAGTCTTTCTAGACTAGATTACCTTTTGGCTAGCATTTATATAAAACAGTCGCTGGGAATGAAATGGGGAAACCTTCTCCGTGAGCAGAATGGCAGGTGCTGCCTGCACTTACTCAGTGATTTGGAGGAGGTGGGAGGGGAGTATTCAGTCTCCAAAGGTAATGTGCTAAGTGTTCATATCTGGACATCCTCAGATGCCAGTTTTCTGTCTGTGCATTTGGTTTTGCTGTGTATATAGTGCATATATAATGGACAAATAAAGTCCAAAATTTTCAACATCTAGTCTCTAGATGTTAAAGAGGTTGTCAGTGTATGATTAAGTAATTAATAAAATTAGCACATTTTGTGTACATGGTGTTGAAGTTCATAGGAAGCTTGTAAGTGACATTTACATATTAATTTGGTCAAATATTTCTTTTTTTGTCAGTCATGGGGCTTGAACTCTGGGGTCTAGGTGCTGTCCCTGCGCTCTTCAGCTCAAGGCTAGCGCCCTACCACTTGAACCACAATGCCACTTCCAGTTTTCTGAGTGGTTTATTGGAGATAAGAGTCTCACAGACTTTCCTGCCTTGGCTGGCTTTGAACCATGATCTTCAGATTTCAGCCTCCTGAGTAGCTAGGATTCCAGGTATGAGCTACTGGCACCCAGCTAAATATTTCTAAGCACTACATATACTTGTAGTTGTCCACTGGTTTGAAGGCAGGAAGAAGAAATTGAGGATGGCCCAGGGCCAAAATGCTCATATTTTGAAAATACAATGCTGTGAGCACAGCAGGCAAGTTCATGCATAAAATGTCCAGTCCTGGATATTTAGAAGTGTTGATGTACTTAATGTAGAAGTAGAGTTACTCTGTAAATAGCTTTACAAAATGTGGGAATTGGAGCTGTGAAACCACCTCTGTGAGCAGTGTACTGACTGCACTTGTTCATTGGACTGAGGAAGATGCTCGAAAAGGAATTGCTGTGAAGGTCTATTTGTATGTGAGAAAAGTTCAGCTTATCCCTTCCCCTGAATGGCATGTATATTTTGCTACACTATGTACTGTGTGTATTATGTATAGACTGGACAAATGAGTCTTAATTTTATAATATTTCATCTC